ATGGTTGGGTCCCTCGCCAGGATAATCTCTGACTATTGTTCCAAATGTTTTGGGTATGTTATCTTTTTCCTCCAACATCCGCCTGTAGGAGGACATGCCCGACCTAATCTAGTGGTCTAGTGCACGTGATAGGTACACGTTGGTCTAGTGCACGTGATGGGTACACGCTGGCGCTCTGCCTTCCTACCCCCCCCTGCAGTCTTTGGGGCTCCGGCCCCGTCGTGCGGGCCCCGCTGTCTTCCGCACTCGCGGCGGAGCTGCCTCGGCCACGGGTGCCACTCAGTCGAGCAGCAAGTGCCTGGCATCGCTCGGACGTGTGCATTTTTTCTCGGCGAGAACCATCGAGGAGCATCCTTGATCATGTGGCGAAAAAACCACGCACGAAACCAAAAAAACACAGGGAATGGACGTCCGAGCGATGGCGAGAGTGTCCTGCCCCCCCTGCGAAAACTGCGCTGGCGCAGGGGCCCTGCAGGCCAGTGCTGCATGCCAGGCACGGCGCGGCACGGCACAGCACGCAGGCACAGCACGCGGGCACGGCGCGGCACGGCGCGGCATTTCTCATATGCATCTTCGAAGCCGCGCACGGCACGGCACGTGAGAGCACGACGCGGAGGCGCTGCACGGCGCACGGGCGCGGCGGGGCACGGCGCGGAGCAGCACGTGGGCGCCACCTCCTTCGCACCCGAGAAATTTCGACACACCGGCACGCCGCGGCACGGCGCGCCGCGGCACGGCACGGCATGTGGGCGGCCACCTGGTTCCTCTCCTGGCCCTCTTCTCCTCTTCCTCTTGCTCCTCCTCCTCCTTCTCCTCCTCTTCCTTTTTGTCCTCGTTCCGCCTCCCTCTCCTTTGTGACGTTGTCCAGACGTGAAGTTCAAGCTTGTCGCGTTCTTACCTCCCTCTTCTCCTGCTCCTCCTCCTCCTCCTCCTCCTCTTCCTCGTCCTCCTCGTCCTTCCCCTATCCTTCCTCGTCAATCTCTTCGTCGTCTCCTCTCTCCTCGCCCTCCCTCCCCCGCCTCTCCCACTCTCCTCCTCCCTCGCAGGTGTGCCTGGATGCCGACGGCGAGGGCGCGGAGCTCGGCTGGGGCGACACCGGTCGTCCGGGAGGGCTCCCCCCCGGATGCCCGTCCGTCGCCAGGCGACGAGGGGCTCAGGTGCACCGCAACCGCGACGACCACGGCCACGACGACGAGGAGGGCGACGATGGCCGCGACGATGACGACGTGGAGGGCCGCGGCGACGACGAGACACCCCCGTGACGTCCTGGTCCCAGCACTTTGCTGAGCCCGGTCGGCGTCGGAGGCCGTCCGGCATCCGAGGGGATAGTAGTCCGGGGCCCCTTCGGCGGCCGAGCCGGCAGCGCTGGAGTCCCAGAGCCCCAGCGCCTCAAGAGCAGCAGGACGGGCGTTCCTTCGCTAGCTTCGGCGTCTGGGAGCGGTGTCTCGGGCAACAGGGCCGTCCGATAAGTGGTCCAGGACGAAACAGCGCCCAGGTCGCGAGCTCCAGGGGGCGCGTGTTGAGACAACCAGGGCATCCGAGGCCTGGGGTTGGGTTGAGCCCGTTCGGCTTCTGGTGCGGCGGTCGAAGGGGCTCAGGCTGCGTCTTGGCTCAGGGGGGGTGCTTGGATTGTGTGTTCTCCGGGCGGAATCTTCGTATTCTTCTTTTCAAGGGAGTCGTCAACGGTTGAGGGTGTGAGCTGTAGGCGCTTTTGCTTGCCGTGCTGTGCGTTTCTACTGTGTCCTCCGCTTGGCTGTAGGTTTTTGCCCTGGCTGGCTCACCCCCTCCCCCTAGACTGCCATGTGATTCTGCTTGCCGGGCAGATGTTACAGCAGGCACACTGAATACGAGATAGGCGTGCCAGCAGGTACGAGACTGGCCTGCCAGCGGGTGCCCCGCGGTACTTCATGATCCTCCGACGTCCCAGGACACCGGTTGGAGTGCTGGGGGCGTCCTGCGACGTCCAAGCTCGACCGAACAATGTGCCCCTATGCTTATTATATCAAGATTCCCCAACTTATGCATCTACTCTACATCACAGCTGCGTGTGAATCCCACGCCTAGGGTCGCTTAGTCGGGCTCTGGTTCTTTACCATGAGCTGGCCGCGGCAGTCTTCCCGCTTCCATTCCCCGCGCACGGCCTAGCGCGAGTATTTACAATACCGCGCACGCGTGCGCGTCGGCGTGTACGTGCATACAATTACTGACGCTTCGCATCTACCTACCAGCCCGCTTCGCTGTGTTCCCCCGTGCTTCGGCGCGGCCCGCCTTAGCTTGCACGGCGTTCGACTCGTCTTCGCGCGCCCGCGTACCAAAAAAGCATACCCACCAGCCCATTTAACGTCAACAGCAATCAGTAGGCGAGTTACCCTCCCTGATCAGGGACGTGTAGCACTAGGCAATCACGCTCCTGGAGCCTCGTAGCGGCATCCTGGGGCCTTCGTGGGGTCATCTTGGATGCCTTTGGGCTCTCCTGCGGCCCTCTTGAGGCCCCCTTGGGACCCTCTCGGGGGGCCCTCGTGGGGCTCGAGGGGCCGTTTAGGGGCCCTCTCGAGGGCCATCGATCAGAACAGAGGGCGGCGTGAATCAGTCCCCCCCCGTCGGTGGCCGAACACAAACATTATCTTGGGGTCCTGTTGGGGTGCCCTTGGGCCTCGTACGGGGCCCCTCTTGGGGCTCCCGCGGAGCCATGCTGAGGCCTCGGGAACCCATCGGAAGCGAAGAGGCGAGACGCCGAGAAGCAGTGAGCGCCGTAAAGCTTTGAGAGATTTCGGCCTCTCCACCCTGGAGCCTTCTTAGGACGGCCATGGCAACCCTTAGAGGCATGTGGGAAGCTATATTGAGCCATCTTGGGCTATGCTGTGCGATCTCGACGGCCACCTTGGGCTATCGGGGGCCTTTTTGGGGGGCCATCTCGGACCGTCCCGGCCGCTCCACCCTCTCGCGACCGGGCCCGCCCAGACCCGGGGAGAGGGGATATGGGGGAGAGGTACACCTTATCCCCATAGGGGAACGATGACCCGGCGATCGCAAAGATGGATCAAGGGGGCGTGGATCAGCGACCGGTCCCGTTTCCATGGGAACTGGCGGATTTCCGCCGCCGAGCGAGGCGGCACCGGCAGCATTCTGTGGAGGGCACCTCCCCCGATCCATGGATGTGGCGACCGCGCGCCAAATCCACGGATCGCTAATCCATGCTTGCGCGCCCCCGAGATGAGGCTAGAACGTGTAACTCCTCAAGAAACACCTGCGCCCAAAGGGCTGGTGGTACTCCATGGCCGACGCGTGCCTAGCATGCTCATTCATTCACCCGTCCTTCCGAACCGCGCGTTTCGTGCCTCTCTTTCGTGACCTTCGGCCTCATCTTCTCCTGCCCTCTTATGTCAGGAGGGGAAAAAACACACAGACACACAATTCATCGTCGACCCCAAGAAAATATTGGAAAATATGGGAATTGGGCGGGAAGAAAAAAAGCAGAAAGTATGAGAACATATGGGGCATCATTTTATTTGTGTCTATTTATTTGTGTGTCCTTGTGCCCCTTGATTTCACCAGCTTCCCTTCTCTCTCCCCTCGCCCCTCGTGCGTGCCCCCTCGGGCACTTCCTGCGTGGAGGCAGGGTGCGGCTCGGGCCAGGTCGCCGGACGGCGACGGCAGGCCCTCGGCGTCACGCGATCGATTCTCCAGGCAGGAGGAAAACACAAAAAACACACAGACACAATTAATCGCCGGTCCCCAAGAAAATATGGAAAATATGGTAATTGGGCGGGAAGACAAAAACTTAGAAAATATAGGAAAATCTGGGGAATCTTTTTATTTGTGTGTATTTGTTTGTGTGTCCTAGGGCCCCTTCATCCAGGCACTCCGAGCCGGATCCTGGGAGCAGGCAGTCCGATGCAGCGAGGCTCGGCGGGCGCTCCGAGAAGGGCGCGGCGTTCGAGACATCCTCCAGAGCCGCGGGATCTCAGAGATTCCTCGTGACCCACAGAGGGGTCCAACTGAAAGGTGGTGGTGCAACAGATTTGGGGCAATTGGATTGCAAATGTATTGCGCCAGGGAATTGTCTTGCATTGTATTGCAACTAATGCATTGCACGCGGAAATCCAGCAATACATTTGTGCTCCGGAACGTACTGCACACCCCAGATCTACTGCAACCCCCACGACTCTATTGCACCAGATCTATTGCACCAGAGAGATCCTTGATTTTTGCCCTTGCCCGAAGTTCTCATCCTCGTCCCGGCCTCGTCTCTTACGCATTCCCGCGGGAGATCCGAGAGGCTCGTGTTTAGTCGGGCGTGTCCCCCTCTACAGGGGGATTTTCGATGAGAAATAAAAAATACTCAAAAATACACCGAAAAGGTTAAGCAATACTAGAACAATAGTTCCCAGACTATTGTTCTAGCATTTTTGGATTATTTTTGGGTCATTTTTACTTCTTTGCCGAAAATCCCCCTGTATGGGGGACACGCCCGACATAAGGCTCGTGCGCTCGCTCCCGCAGCCGCTCCGGCTCCTCGGAGGCCCCTCGTTCCGCGGCTGGCCCTGTTGGGGGGGGCGCCGCCCCCCCTCCCCGCCCAGGGGTTTGACTCGGGCATGTCCCTCTACGGGAGGCCTGCTCAGGAATAGCCAAAGCATAGTCGGGCGACGACTGCCTCCTCCTGCTCCTCCTCCTCCTCCTGCTCCTCCTCCTCCTTCTCCTCCTCCTCTCCTCCTCCTCCTCCTTCTCCTCCTCCTCCTCTCCTCCTCCTCCTCCTCCTCCTCCTCCTCCTCCTCCTCCTCCTCCTCCTCCCCCTCCTAGCCCCTTCGATCAGGGTCGGCGGCACCGGCCGTCAGGCCTCTCCAATAGTCAAAGCAGAATCGGGAGACGACTGTTTGATGATTTCTGGGGTATTTTCGAATATCTGTTTTCAGGATCTTTTCGTTTTCGCCCAACCGCCGCCTATAGGGGGGCATGCCCGACCTGAGCCCAGAGGTTGTGTGCGCAGGGCCGCGGTTATCATGCCGCGCCCCCCGGCCACGCAGCTGACGGAGACGCTGCAGTGCAGGCCCGGGAAGGACAATTGTACATCGGGCTGGGCGTCGGAGGAGGAGAGGGTTACCCTTACCTCTACCCTTCCTTTTTTGGGCCTCCTGGGCCTCCTGGGCGGCCCCCGTCGCCACCGCTGGAGTCGCCTCGAAATTCTGGGCAGCACGCACCCCGGGAGAAGTCCGGGGAGTGGCGGTATACCAGTACCTTTCGGTCTCCGGGTTGGGAAGATGATGCGGGGCGCGGCTTCGTCATAAGCATACGCTCGACACGCGCGATGATACGGAGGATCTGATCCTCCTCTCTCCCAGCCCTCTCCTCCCACCCCGACATGGCTGTCTCCCTCACAGTCACCGAGCGTGTTCCACTACTCGCAAAGTGCCTACGGTAGGTTCGTGTCGTGTCGACCGGCGGCGACCCCGCCAGCGGCGTTCAACGTTGAACACCGCGGGCGACCCAGAATCGTTCGGTGTGGAACGAGATGGACGTTTCGAAAACGGCCGATCGTTCAAGGTTGAACGATCCCCGCGGTGTCAGACGATCCCCTCGGCGTCAGAAACCAACGCCGAAGTCGGCACGACACGAACCTGTCGTACTCGCAAACGTCCGGCAACAAAACACATGTCTGCATCGATGTAATGTATCGTAACTCCCCCGCGGCGGATCCAGGCCATTTGCGAGTAGTTACTTTCTGCGAGTAGTGAAACGCGCTCGTCTAGACAGGCTGGAGGACCACGAGGCGCTTCAGGCCGTGGAGCGGGCGGCCGCAGACGTCAGCCTCCTGGTGGCCTCCAGGACGATGGGCCTGGTTTCCACCACCACAACCACCAGAAGTTGGAGGGGGAGGGCCTCCTCCTCCTCCTCGTCCTCCTCCTCCTCCTCGTCTTCGTCCTCCTCCTCCTCCTCCCCCTCCTTCTCCTCCCCCTCCTCCTCATGCTTCTCCTCCTCCTCCCCCTCCTCCTCCTCCTGCTCCTCTTCCTTCTCCTCCTCCTCCTCCTCCTCCTCCTCCTCCTCCTCCTCCTCCCCCTCCTCTCCTCCTCCCCTCCTCCTCCTCCTCCTCCTCCTCCTCCTCCCTCCTCCCCTCCTCCTCAGCCTCCTCCTCCTCCTCCTCCTCCTCCTCCTCCTCCTCCCTCCTCCTCCTTCCTCCTCCTCCTCCTCCTCCTCCTCCTCCTCCTCCTCCTCCCCTCCTCCTCCTCCTCCTCCTCCCCCTCCCCCTCCTCCTTCCCCCCCTCCCAACTCGTGGCGGTGGTGGTGGAAAGCAGGCCCATCACAGGACGCGCCGCTCTGCCGTGCTCATGCCCGGCCGAAGGCCGGGCCTGCTGCGGTGCCTGGCGCCCGGGCTGGCGTCCCCGGCGGGCTACACGGGCATCACCGGCATCACCGCGGAGCTCGTGCCTGACGACGACGGCGACAGGGGAGCGAAGAATGGCACAAGCGCAGACATGATCGCACCGTGACGAAGATCAGGGCGGGAGGTGTTTGGTCAATCTCGGCCTCGGGGGGCCCTCGCCGGGCCTCGGGACCGTCGAAAAAGGACTCAGGATGAAAAGCCGGTCCTGGGGAGAGGGTCGGGACTTCCAGGGACCCCGTTTTGAAAAACTAAGGACGACGCATGTCTTGGAACATAGAAACTCGGAGGTCCTCGCGGATTCCTCGGATCGGCGCTGGGGCCCCCGGCGGCGCGTCCGGCGCCGCCCGCGGCGCGCTCCGCGCGCCAGGGAGGGGGGAGAGCATGCTACGCATGGAATGAATTCAATGAGAATCAATTGCAGTGGATCCGTGAGTGGATCAATCTAGGTTGATGAGGCTATGATGCCTCCTTTGATTTTGAGCCGGCTATGATGCCCGCTCGTGCCCACCCTGTCCCGTCTTCAGGGACTTCGCATCCCCCTATGATGGTAGGATGGGAAGACGGGCCGCCGCCCCTGGCACTGCACGTACGGTGCCAGGTTTGTGGGGATTTGGTTCGACCCCCGCAGTCCCGATGATGGAAACTGCGAGGGGTGTGAGGCCTCATGGTGGTCCCTACTGGCGAGGCCTATGATGGTCCTCACCGGGGGGGGAGAGGGCAAGGGCGGACGTCCACCAACAACGTCCATCGTGCTCATCCTCCGTGAAATGCGTTGTGATCGCACTCATGACCAAGAAGACCGTGACATTCACGAGCACGACCCAACCTATGATTGCGGACTCCGTGAAACGCACCGTGACCACGCTCATGACCACAAAAACCGTGACATTCACGAGCACGACCCGGCCGATGATTGTGGACTCCGTGAAACGCACCGTGACCACGCTCATGACCACGAAGACCGTGAAATTCACGAGCACGACCCGACCGATGATTGCGGATTCCGTGAAATGCACTGTGATCACGCTCATGATCACGAAGACCGTGAAACACACGAGCACGACCCGACCTATGATTGCGGACTCCGTGAAATGCCCTGTGACCACACTTATGAACAAGAAAACCGTGACATTTACGAGCACGACCCGGCCTATGATTGCCGACACCCTGAAACGCACCGTAAACACACCCATGATCACAGAAGCTGTGAAATTCACGAGCACGACCCGATCGAGGCCGAGGTGCTGCCCGCAGTGCCCGTATCGCGGCTCCGAAGGGGTGGAGACCAGGAGGAGGAGAGGGAGGAGGAGGAGGAGGAGGAGGAGGAGGAGGAGGAGGAGGAGGAGGAGGAGGAGGAGGAAGAGGAGAAAGAAAGTTGAGCTCAATGAACAATTTGAGCGCGAAGGCCTATGATGGTCCTTCTTCCCGAAGAAAAGCTTGTCTGATGGCCCCGAATTGGGTGCGAGGTGCCTATGATGGCCCCTCTGGCTGCCTATGATGGCGGCACTAGACGACCGGCAGGGGACTGGGGCCCGTTCACGGTCCATTAGGGGAGAGCATGCTACGCATGGAATGAATTCAATGAGAATCAATTGCAGTGGATCCGTGAGTGGATCAATCTAGGTTGATGCTGCTATGATGCCTGCTTTGATTTTGAGCCGGCTATGATGCCCGCTCGTGCCCACCCCGTGCCGTCTTCAGGGACTTCGCATCCCCCTATGATGGTAGGATGGGAAGACGGGCCGCCGCCTTTGGCACTGCACTCATGGTGCCAGGTTTGCGGGGATTTGGTTCGACCCCCGCTGTCCCGATGATGGAAACTGCGAGGGGTGTGAGGCCTCATGGTGGTCCCCACTCGCGGGGCCTCGGGACCGTCGAAAAAGGACCCAGGATGAAAAGCCGGTCCCGGGGAGAGGATCGGGACTTCCAGGGACCCCGTATTGAAAAACTCAGGACGTCGCATGTCTTGGAACATAGAAACCCGGAGGTCCTCGCGGATTCCTCGGATCGGCGCTGGGGTCCCCGGCGGCGCCTCCGGCGCCGCCCGCGGCGCGCTCCGCGCGCCAGGAAGGGAGGTCCAGCGCCGATCCAAGAAGTCCGCGCGAGCCTCGGAGCTTTTATGTTTGCGTCATTGTTTGTGCCCCTAGGCGAGGGCCTATCCGTGTCGGTCGCGGCCTCCCGCACGAAGGAGGGCAAGGCCTTCCTCGCCGCCCTGAGGAGGCACCTCGGGGAGCAGGGCTGCCCCGGGACGCCCTCGGCCGGCTTCCAGCTCGGGCCTGGAAGGGGCACGCCCGTCGGTTCGCAGCACTCCAAGCTGGAGGCCCAGGCGTACTACTGCTTCTCCAAGATCCTCTACGACACCCGGGAGGCGCCTGGGCAGGCGGCCGCGGAGTTCATGCAGTCCTCCTGCCACACGCTGGCCACGCTGAGCCCCACGGCGGTGTCCGCAGCCATGGGCGACTGCATCGCGGGCATCGATCGCCTCTGCGCGCTGGTGGAGCAGCACATCGGGCCCCCCGGCGGCCCCGGCACCTCCCCCGCGGCCGCGGCCGCGCGCCTGGGCGGCGCGCCGACGCCGCAGGACCTGCAGCCCTGGCTCCGCGGCTCCGTGGAGCGCTGCGTGTTCGCCAGGGTGGGGCCGCCCCTCTGGAGGCTCTACGAGGAGCGCCACTCCGCCGAGGACGCCCAGTTCGTGGAGAAGGTGGGGCGGCTCCGCCGCTGCAGCGACGCCGCCCTGCTGGAGGCCCTCGAGGTGCGGGCGGAGCTCCGGGGCCTCTGCGCGGGCGGGGCGGCCAGCCCCAGGACGCCGCGGCGCGGCGGCCTCGGGGGCGCAGCGGCCTCCGAGACCGCGCGCCTGGTCGGCTCCGCGGCGGACTGCCAGGACCCGATGTACACGCACCGCAGTCCGAGCACCGTCGCGAGCGCGGCCGACCTGCCGCGGGGGGGCGCCCCCGCGCCGTGCGCGGTGGCGGGGCCCTACGACCGCGCGGCGACGGCGCTCTCGCAGGTCGAGCTGATGTTCAGCAAGAGCCACCCCGGCACGCCGCGGGAGCTCCTGGGGGCGCTGGCCCTGGCGCAGCTCGAGATGAGGACGTGCGCGCTGGAGGCGTCCGGCGGCCAGAGCGAGCTGTACTCGATGGACGACGTGATGCCCGTGTTCGTCTGCGTGCTCGCGCGGTCCTCGCTGACGCGGCCCTTCGCCTGCGCAGGCCTCATGGGAGACGCGCTCACGCAGGACGAGCGCGGCGAGGCCGAGGGGCGCGCCGTGCTGCTGCTGGAGTCCGCCGCCCGGCACATCGCCTTCGACTGGGACACCGCCGAGGTGCAGGTCTCCGAGCCCGCCCCCGAACGCCCCAGCGCCGAGCCGGCGCCGGCCGTGACGGCAGCGCGGCCCGTGCCGACGGCGCTCTCCCTGTAGCTGTGCTGGGGGGGCTCATTTACCTTCGGCCGCGTCCCTCCTCCCTCCTCCTCCTCCTCCTCCTCCTCCTGCTGCATGGTGGCGCAAGTCGGCTCAACGGTACCCCCGTTCATGCCCTTCATCGCCAGCGCAGTCACCCTCTGCCTAGCCGCCGACGCAACAAGCACGGAGCTCCCGCCTCCGGTCTGCGGCGCGGCCGCCTC